ATAGGTTAATATTCTCTATACAAAGCTTTGTAAGAGATGTAATAATTGTTAAGACAATATAGGAAGAAACTTTTACATCCTTCATCCATTAAAGTGATGACAGATGTTTTTATTACACCAGTGTGGAACTTCGCCTCCTGCGAGCAGGTTTTGCAGCAGGTCTAGTGCAGTCTGAGTGGCTGCAACCACATTCCTCCACGTGGATGTATATGTAGGGAACCACATCTCCATTCAGGCAGTGCAAGTAGACAGTGCGATTGCTGGAGCGTGTCTCCCTACAGCAGGAGCAAGAATGCTCCATAGCGGCCGCTGCTTAAGAGTACCTGAAGAAAGCAGAGGCAGGAGTGATTAATACATTCAAAATATGCACAAAGTACACCCAAACAATTTTACATCTCCTCATCCTCATGGGTTTGTGACTATTTGGAGAAATGTGACTAATATCTTCCTTACATGGTGAAAGTGTTGCAGGTTCCTTCACAATATGGCAGATCCACCTCATTGTAAGACTGACAGCACCCATGCATAATGAATGTTTTCATGGATACACGCTTGCAGCCCTTCTCCTTCTCCACACCTTTTAAAAACAGAAGCAAAATTAGCTTGTTTTCATTTAAGTATACCCTCTACCCAAAAGTAGAGTTAATGGCATACTCACAGATTTTACAACAGCCATTAGCTGATGTCTGAATGGTGCCCTGCGGAGGAAAATTCACAACATCAGCACAAACTGTTTCAGCATGTGTTCTCGCAGACACAGACAATCCAAATTAATTTGCTGGAAGTCATAAATGATACTTACAGGCTGGCAGTTGCTCTGATGGAATGGCGGGCAGACGATGTGCGAATTGAATGCTGTTAAAGTGTTTCCGAACTTAATGCAGGTGTAGTGCAGACACTTATTCTCAGGTGGTGACCAGGTATCTCCCGGCTGGAGGACAGCGAGACCGACATACACAAACATGCAGATATTAAAATCATGATGTACTTTCAGCTATTAACCATTATTATGTGGACCACAGCCGAAAGAGATGATCCAACTTACCTTCAAGAGCTTATCAGTACCATTGACACAAGCAACACAGTGTGTCTGTACACATTTCCCACAGCATTCATCGAAATCAGTTTCCTGATACTCATATCCCTGAAAGAAACGATAAGTTGACAAGTCAAGTTTTACAGGTTCATTTTCCACATAAAACTTATCCTGAGAAAATCAAGTTGTATTGTGTGTATGAGTGTAATAGGTGTAATTTTTCTTACCAGGTCGCAGTTTTTCTTGCATGTCTGAAACTCACAACGTTTTTTAAATAGACCAGTATTGGGGTCCACCTCATTGGTACAGATACAATCCTGACATGGAGGTGCAGGAACTGGAGAGCCAGGCTAGCAATTAAAGAGGAAACATATTTACTGTATACATGTGTTTTTTAACTATTCAGAACTTGTGCAGCAAAAATCATGAATGATATATTTCCATTTTTACATACCCTGTATTCAATGTCTTTGTGGACACACACTCTTTTGGGCACTAGAAAAGAGTAAGAAAATGGGAATTATATAAAAGTGTCAATACCATAATTTGCTTTATACAAATTCAAACTATGAATTAATGAGCTCACCACATGTGTGTTCTGGACAGCATTTTCCTTCAGGAACATTGTCCTCCATCTCATATCCTACTTCACACTTCTTTTCAATGGGTGGGCAAGTGTCTCAGTGACATTCTGTAGAGATGATCAAAGAGCAATAAAGATCATTATCAATGTATAGCAATATAAAAAAACTCTGGAGAACAAATGTGCACTGATGCTACAGGTCTTACGGCAAACAAAGGCAGAACAGCAGGGGTCTGATGGATTAGTTTGGTTGACAAGGACAAACCCAGGTTCAGTGCAGCTTATTATAGGTGGTGCTGGGCACGTCTTTGGCTTGCATGTGACAGTCTTGGTGGACTCCTTACAGATGCAGTTTTGGCATTTGTACACAAACTC